GACCGAATCAATTTCGACGATAGTCTCCCATTGGCTCGACCTTGTCCAGGGCGGCGACCAAAACACCAGCAGGGCCCTTAATTTGCATCGCCCAACATGCGGTTTGCAATGCCTTGATTCTGTTCATTTCAAGTTTAATATATTCGCCTGTTAGTGCGCGTACGGGTACATATCCGTACGCTTCGCAGACTCATCCAATTTTGTTTGATTGCTCTCCCCAGTCTGCCCATCTCCTCAACACCGCCATTTGCATGCGCACGCACTTACATGATAGCGATTAATTCACTCAGTGACGCCGTTGGCTTGGCCTCGCCTGCATCCTGACACCAACGTTCTCAACGGCGTGGGTCATATTCGCCTTCATGCTCGCTTGATGCCACCGCCCCCCCAGACTTGGGAAAAACCACCCCGCAAGACACCCCCTTGGGCCCCCTGCCGCTGCGTCGTTTTGTGAAACGGCCAACTGCGGGCTTGTTTGGACTTGTACCTAAAGTTCACGCAACCGCTCAACTTGTTGTGCTGTTCCGCAGTGGCATCCAGAGCTAATAGTCGCAAATATATTGACTTGAGCTGAGTCTCTGGCGATCCATCAAACGCCTCACCACGTTAGTCCCCAGGATCACCGTTTGTGTCACTGGTGTTTCCCCCGTGTCTATTATTGTCCATGGTGCCTCTCCAACTGCTCGCTTCATGTTTTCACAAGGGCCGGGCCAGCCAACCTTATTCTCCAGGAACCGTTTGAGATAAGAGAAACGAGAAACACATGCGGCCCCTGCGTCACCCCCAGCCAGCGCCCTTGCTTCGCTGCGTTGCGAATGCACGGATACACGTATTCATCCCAGGCCACGCCAGCCAGAAAAAAAGGCGTTTTGCTTTTTCCTTTCGCCTTTCTCCCGTCCCTTGCCATCGGCGGGATAAGAAAAAAAGAAGGATTTCTTTTTTTCCCTTAGTTGACATGTCACGGACCGCGGGGTGGGGAGCCTCCGAGTCAGCCACGACCACAACAGTACGAATCACGGCGTGACGGTGACTCTAGCACCGAACGCCTGAGAGCGACTACACGATGAGCCGTGCCATCTTCGGCTGGCCGGCTTGGCAAACCGGCACGCTGAGATTGCGTCTTAGCGGAATGTCATCATTTTCACAGGTCAGCGCTGCGTGTAAAGCAGCTTTTGGGCATATCGGCTCTTCATCCGTACGGCGTACTCCGTGTGATTACTATTGGTGATGATTTTGTCTTACGGCATCTTTCAAGCTTCCATCATTCCACTTCCTCTATCCTTGGCCGTGGCCGTCCAGAAGCGTCCACCAGGGTGCCTTCAGGATTGACATGCAATCCCGCTAATCTCGTCAAACCGGGCACGGCGCTCGCCTCTGTCTGACTCGGCAATAGGCTTGCCATGCCCCAATTCTCAAGGCTCTCCACGACATCGCGTGCGTGCTGTTGGACCAGTCCGTCGTTGTCTGTTGCCGCAATGTAGCTGAGAGTCCTCTGTATATCCTCCCGGCTCTGGCTTGTCAATCCAAATCCCAGTTTCTGTCCAGACTCCTTGGCCTTGTCCAAGGCTTTCACAAAACTGAGTATAACGAGGATGGCTGCTCGTCGAAGTATGCCCTTCTCCAGCTCAGGCTCCATGGCGAGGACATTGATGCTGAGGTCGACTCCTGCCGAGACTATAGTCGGCCCCATACCAATAATGTTCGTCTCAATGGCATTTCCAAAGATGGAAAGAGCCGAAGTCCGCATTCGAATATCCTCGCTCCCCCTTTTGCTTTCCCAGCCTTGAACAATTTGCGCCAGTATCTCATTATTGGCCAGTTGCTCCGGTGTTTCTTCCTCATCCGCCATTTCAATGTCCTGGTCAGCGTCTCCACTAGCTTCTGCCTTTTTCCTCTTCAGTTCGTTCAACCTTTCCTCTCGTGCCTGCTTGGCCATCGTTTTGGGTCTGTATCCCCTTCTACCTGCAATCGACAACATGCTCTCGCCTGCATTCTGGGCTGCCTCTCCCGTGAAAGTCTCTCCCAATCGCTCGATAACCTGAAGTATTGCCTCACCAAACCTGAGACGAGTGTCTGTAGATGATCTTTCCTGTGCATCCAAATAATGGTCGAGAAGCTCCTGCATTGTCGCCTTAGGATGCTTATTTGCCAGTAGCGTGAATATCTTAATAACTCGCAAATTGATATAGTCCTCATTTTCCTTCAAAAGATTTGCCATCAGCACTGTGACGGCCGATATGTCCAATATTGAACTCTCTGCCACGATCAGATTTGATAATAGGTTGAGGCCTTCGGACACCACCGGTGGCGGGTTATCGCCTCCAGTCATGTAGTTCATTGCTAGATCGTAAGTCTTACGGTCTTCAATCTGGCGGGCAGTAGGAGCCGCCGTTTTGTCAAATGGCTTTTCCACATCATCCCGGTACTTGAGCAGCATCGTCAGATTGCCTGCAGTTGTCGATGCTTCACCTCGATCTGCATTCCCAATCCTCGCCAGTGCGTCCTCGACAACTTTTAGCTCAGTCGGGTTAATGTCCGACTTCTGAAATGTCGGCGCTGTGATTACCAAGTTTAGTAGACTGAGTACAACTCCAATGATATCGTCCCCAAGGGGTGCCTGGCCGTCGACTCGCAGTACATGTGATATAAGTTCCAGCAGCTGGTCGAAATGGCTAATCAATTTTTCCGGAGCTTTGTCCATGAACTTTTGCAACAAAGTCACGTCGACAAGATCTTGGATAGCAGAAGCAGAGTCTGCTTCCTCATCATGAGTGACCAGCTTGATGGCCGAACTGCTTTGTTTGCTGGCTGACTGTATCCATCGTCGCAAGAGGTATAAGAAGACCGAGGAAACTTCTTCCGTTGTACATACGGAACTCAGGAATTCAACCAAGGTGGTTGATTTACTCTCAACCTCTCCCCAGTCTAGTTCCTCGTTTTGCTTTCCTTCGGCAAACGGACGGCGAATGCTCTCTATCCCTCCTTCGGACCCATGGTGGTATCGCCATTGTAGACCATCTGCGTCATACAGGGATCCTTTGCATTGAATATTACGGATAAACGGGATGAGGTTGTTCACATCACCGAATAACCTGAAGTGAGTCTGCACAAGAATCCGCGCAGGCCTGCAGAAGCGCTTTTCGGTTTCTTGAGAGGGATTCATCCAGGAAGCGAGAGCCCAAAGTTGCAATTGGACTGGCTTCAGGACTCGTTTACAAAGGCCGGGTGATGGGTTTGACATGATGAGTAGTTGCAGCCGTTTAAGTGACCTCTCGAGGTCGGCAGCAGCAACAAGGACTTTTTCTCGACCCAGTTCCACAACTTCGTCGTCGTCGTGCAAGCCAAAAGAATTTCCCCTTGAAGACTTCAGCGATGGGTTAATGGTTTCCATCAAAGGCTGTACGAAAGCGTTCCAACCAGGTGCCCCTGTTTTCTCTCATAAGTAAACGCGTAGAGAAATACGGTGCATGACTATATAAACGAAAGTTATGTTCTTACCTGGGGCTCCGAATTGCTTTTTACCCAAGATACCGAACCCAACAATCTGCGCAGCAGTTTTCGCAACATCAGGTCCAGCTTCGCCATCAAATAAAGCCATGAATTGGCCCGCTATACCATCGAACCATTCCTGAGCATTCATCAAAGCCGGAACAGAGGAAAGAAGTTTCGTTGCAACGGCTACCGCCTCATGCGTAATGGCAGCTCCTTGTTTTCCGCGGCTACCGCTGTCATCCGCGGGTTTCCCAGTGTTGCTCGGATGAACTGCAAACACGAACTCCATAGTAGCTCGAACGCCGTCGGACCGCAGTGGCAGATGCGTCAGACTCCGCATCAGCGGTTCCCTTAGCCATGGCGGAAGCACATTGGGCTTGATCAGAGCGTTGAGAGCATGTATCAAGATCCATGTTTGCGTTCTGACCGCATGTCAGGTTTGATTTGAATGTCTGTTTCCCCCTCTAAGCAGCCTCACCTACCTCTCGATCAGTTCATTGTATTCACGCAAGCCATCTTGTCGGCTTTCAGCAGCGGCTGATGGATCGAATGCTTTTTTTGCAGCATCCACGATATCCTGTGTGATCTTCGGCCGAGATTGCTGAGTATCCGTCAAGTCTGCCATAGCACTCAGACACCATATAGATGTGATTTATGAGCTTTACAGAACCTAAGTGCCAGGCTGGTTTTCGAGGCGAAGCTCTTTTACAAATGAGAATAAGCTGCCTTGTGGCACAAGGTAGGAAGTAGCTGGACGTTCTAGTAAAAAACTGTATGCACTGTACAAATGCGCTGTAAGCTTAACCAGTTCATAGTCACGTGCTTACGCGTTCCTGGGCTTGCTTGGTCCGTGCGTCGAGCTCTCCATCATCACATGCCTTCCCCACGCGTTTCCTCATGTTTACTACTTCACTCATCAACCACCGTCAGAACACTTCAGATACGCCAATTCCTCGATTTATTGCCGGAGATTTCACCGCTATCCAATACAATGTCTTCTTTGTACGCATCGTCTCTTGGATCTCCTCATGTAGCTCAAGGCAGAGCCTCCTTCGTTGCCCTCAAAAGCAACACTCCATCTGCACGTCGCCTCCCCCACAGTTTCCCGATTCTCGTTTTCCTTGCTTCCGCAAGGAATGTCTATCGTAGGCCTCTCTTCCAGGCTTGGTTCACCCGCAATATGCAGCTTCCGAGCCTGCTCCAGGACCTCGTCGAATGCTGCAGTTGGATCCATTGCGGTCGGTCTCTGTCTGGCACCCGGACAGCCAAGTCTAGCTGAGAGACACGAGTTTCGGAACTTAACCCTAAGCATGCATCTGGTTTAGTTTGCGCTCAGTCGTCCAATCTCCTTTTTAAATCGCGTTCTTTGTCGATGGACTAGGAGAGAGGACATCCAGTCACTCAACAGTGCGCAAGAGGAAGGATGCCATGGGTCATTATAGTCTCTGGTCTGAGGACGCCCGTCAGCCCTCTCCGCTGGAATTCGCACTATGGTCGAGAATAGGCTGTCCTTGTGATGCAGCTGGCATTATAGGCAGAGAGATTGGCCTTGTCTGTTGGGATCTGCAGCGGTGGCTTCATTGCCCCGGTGCAAGGTCTATGGCATGGGGGGCTTGAGCACAGAAAGGGCTTCAAGCTGTCAAAGATCGCATTTCAAAAACTACACTCTGTCCTTATGGCACCTTGCCGGAAGCCTGCTTCATAGCAGTGTCGCGAGGGCCATCTGGAATCACACAGAAATGCAACGGTTCTTGACCGGCCCAACGCTGTTCTGCAACGCTCTCGGATGCTCCTTATATGCCCGCCTACTTTCTGGATACACACCAACACGACCACCAACGTCATGATCTCTGTCTGTTAGCCGTTTGCTCCTTGGACCACACCACAGCACCCGCTTTCGGTGTGTGATGCTGCGGCATCTAGTCTGACCAAGCGCATTAACCTTCGGTCGTTGGCTCTGTCCCTCGATCTTGCAAGGACGCCAGTTCCTGGCTGGGCTACCCAGCAACTTCCTCAGTAGATTTCATCAAGGAACTGCTGAGATGATAACGCGGCTTTTACAGATGTGTTTTGTGCGCGTGTTGATGCCCTCCTAACCTTGAGGGTTCTGGAGAGGAAACAAAAACAAGTCTTCGTTGGCAGTGCGAGACAAACAGAAGGAGGCTCCCCTGGCTACATCTGGAATATCTAGGCTACAATACGCTACTCGGACTTTGGACTCGGCGAACTTGAAGAAGGCAGCAAATCCATTAGAGGATTGGCTCCGGGCATCGGTCCATTGCGGATACCGCGAATGCGGCTCGGTGTCGAGTTTGAGCTTGATTGAACAAGGACCCATCTTGAGTTGGTGTCAAAGTTTAGCACTTGTCTCGTTCCCTGCTCAACTCGCATCTTTGAGTCCAATTCGCGGGCTGCCACCATTTGACTTGTTCATTGACACGACGTACTTTGTACAAATATTGGATTATAAGGACACACCATAGATTTGGAAGGTAGTCCTGGTTGTCCTTCTCCCAGCAATGGTCGGAGGGCAACCCCCCGCTGGTGAGGGGATAAGTAACCCCTGTTCCGATGGCTATGAGACTTCTCGCTAACAATGCTCTGCAGGTCAGGCTAGGTCATCTAAGGATGTTCGAATCTCTCCGCTGATATGCTGTAAACTCACCGCTGCTTGCAACTTCATGCTTGCAACTTCCTCTTGTGTGCCGTTGTGAAAAGGTGCAATGACGAACCATGTTAGCCAAGTTGACGTCAATGAGTATTCGTAATCGCTATCGCCAAATTTCCAAGCCAAGAAATCGGCTCTGAGCTCCTGTTGCGATCAGTAAGCGGGAATGGTTAGCGATCAAGATGAGGCATCTCTAGCCTCTCATGTCTTTGGGGGATTTTTTTAATAGATAGGCAGCCCTGGTCGTGTACACATCAATTTCCCGAAACGAGTGGGTGGCATCACGGCTAAAGCCGGTGTCATTTTTTCCATATGACGACGACACCAGTCCCTGGCAGACAATGGCGCGGCAAACTTAACGATGTCATGTACAGGGTTCAGATGCAGCGCAACCTGAGAAAGATTCTTGAAGCCTACCGCATTGAGCGATGGGGAGCCACCGCGGACCGTCGACCTTGTGCCAGTGGAGGCAAGAGTGTACGAGTATGGCTTTGAGAAAACAGGCCTAGCCGGGGAGTCTTGTCTAATATTAATCAGCCGAGAGCCCTCTAAACAGGAAGTTGAGGAACAATCTATCGAGCTTCGATTGAGGGGATTCATGTTCCAATGGCAGCGCTAGCTCCAACGGCTTTGGCCGTGTTGATCAGCCCCACAGGGAGCGAGGAAGAAGAGCGCGAGAGGGAAAAAAGTCTTTGTCGCTTCTCAATCAGGACGTAGGGCGATGCAGGGAGGTGGAGCGCAGCCCTGGTTGATGTCGCAAGACGTATGAAACAGCATCTATCCTAGGGCCTGGCAAGCCTGGCTGCTCGGAGGAGTTCCCTGGGCGGGCAATTAACGTCGGCCAGCTGCTCCTCTGAGTGGTTCACCCGGAGAACTGGGCTGGTCACCGAGAGCGCTTTTGGATCCCTTGTTTTGCGTGTGAGTGTGAGTGTGAGTGTGTGTGTGCAGTGAGATTAGCCTGCCTATCGTGGGCTATAACTAAGCCGTGCGAAGGGCTGGTGTTTTGAAGCTCGTGGGCGGAATTGGAGATGCTTCGACTTCCTTGTAATACTACTCGACGCCTAATTAACGGGACCTACTGTACCATTGCTCTAGTACTACTGCCAAGGTAGCAGTGCTAAAGGATTAAGGTCCGTCCAGGTGAAATGCAGCTGCCTAGTGGCTAGTACAGGCAGATATAGTGTGCAATCCGCACTCCGTATAGTGCTCCAGTCCGTGGATAAACCTGGTAAGGCCGAGAGCTAGCAGACCGTACATTAGCAGCACTGCTGGCGTCAATTGAACATCACAATGCCTCACCACAGCAGGCAATTGAGAGACGCTCGCCCAGGTGGGATTGGAAGCTGGAGGGCATCCAGGGAGAAATGACATGCAACGTCAAGTTGCAGCTTAGCGTCATCGCTTCGTACCTGGGTACCGCAGACATGTCTTGCGCGAGAGTATCGAGGACCAACGCCAAAAGTACCCGCAGGTACCAGAGGTACCGAACACTAAGGCCTCGGGTGAGATTATCGGCAAGGCGGTACGGGGTTTCCTCTGCACGGAATACTCTGTACGGAGTAGCTTGTACGGAGCATTCTGCCAGGCACGGAGTATCCGTACAACCTCGGCCGAGAGGAAAGTGGACTCCCTGGGAACGGCAGGCATGACTTGCATCTGGGCCAAGACGCAAGAAGCACCCAGAAGCCCAAGGCCATCGCCCCACCATGCCAGAAGGGTGAAGGTGTGTTCTTGCACGCTCTCAGCTCAAACAACAAACTTGACGCTCAAGCTCGTAAGCAGCCAACGGCAACGGATCCGACTCGCCAGAACGCGGCCTCGAAGCAACTAACGGCAAAGGGATCGCTCACCTCTTGCACCGCTCTTAGAAGTTAGAACCGCGCGGCCGAAACTGAGGCGTGGCGGCCAGCATGAAGGGCCGATGCCGTCTGAGTCCTGCATCGCCGGTTTACGGTTTGCGGGTTGCGGTTACGAGTACAACCTCACCAACGCTTCACCGAGCCACTCCTTCGACCACGGACCACTCTTGGCTCCCCGGCCCTTAAGAGGAAAATATCGCCGTACGATATGCTATCCATGCTATTCTAGTCAAGACTGGCCTAAGCCCTGTAACGACAGTCCGAGGTAACCATGAACGAGAACCAAGGCAGAGCCTCACCGTTCCGCCCCCAAGAAAAAAAAAAAAGACAAAATACCCTTTTCCCGCCCCAAGCTTGAGAGTTTCCCGGCGTTTCCCAGCGGCACACAAATCCCTCCGAGAACAAAAAGTCCCCAACTCCCTTGCCAGTTTCCAATCCCTTGTTTGCAGCCCTTTTCAGATGCCAGTTAGTCCATCCGTGGGCATCAGGCCATCCCGCCGCAACAGCCAAGGACTGCTGCAACAGGGTAGCGCAAAAATTTTTTATCTCAATTTTTTTTTTTTGCTCTAATCCGGATCTCCTTCTCTTTTGAACCAACGCCGAACTTTTTCCCTCGCTTCAACCAGTGAACCTATCCTAGCCAATTCCCATTCCCATCCCGTGTTCTTCAAAGGAATGTGTGAGAGCAGCCCTTCATTATCCATCAGGTCATGACACTTGTTACGACTTGAAGCAGGAACAGAAAAGGCCTGCGTCTCCTACCTACATAGTTGCAACATCAAACGGTTGTGCTGCCGAGATCTGATTCAAAAGACCCCTACCCCATCGTTAGCCCTTCGAATCAAACAAAAGCGGGCCTGGCGTCCTCTTACTAGAATCAATCGAGCTGGCTGCCATTGGGCAATTACCAACGAGCATTGGCTCGATACGAAGATGGCATGGCGCTGTTTCTCAATGGCACAATCTGTGACAGTTCGTCATTGTCGATAATGTCATTGCCCTTGTCGTGGAGGATCCAGCTCTCTCCAACGTCACTTGGGGCAACAGATTCCATGAATGTATCTTGTAAGATGTCGTCTCGGATACGAGGTGCGACAATGTCAACTTGACAGGCCGTCGAAGATGGCAACGATTGCTCCTCGGCATCTCTGCCTTCAGCCTGTTTTTTTCATCTGATGTTAGCTTTACGAGACTGGTCATTCTGAACCCACCCACACAGAGCTTTCACATTGTCCGGATGTTCGATTCAATCATTGATGTGACTTACAATACAGGTCGCACATGGCGAGTTGTTTACCCACACCCAATTGGGACAATTGTGCGAGTAAAAGTTCTTGCAACGGTACTTGTAGAAACCTCCGCTGCTCATTGTGATGACGAGACAAGGTGTATGCTTGGAGAAAGGAAAGGTAAGAAGGAACAGGTCAAGACTTGTGGACAAGGGGAACAAAGTGCTAAGATTGCAGAGAGGTGTGCGGTATGACTTCTTGGAATACTGAAAGTGATGCTAAAAGTGCTGATCGAGATAGAGGCAAAAAAAGAGGTCATTTGACTGCTTTATATATCGACATCTCGGACGGCCGGCTTTACAACGAAACTTCGACCCCGGACACCGTATCAAGATACGCACATGCTACGGTGCGTCACTGTGAAAAGATTCTCACCCTGGCCTATCCGCTTCCTCCGTATTTTGAGAAGCACTTGTCGCCATGTACTCTGGGGGGTGTTTGGCCAACGCTGTATTGCATTAGCTATCCTGACAAGGTCATCCTCCATACTACATGGGAAAAAGGTGGCGCCCGGGGATCAAGTCAATTGTCCAGGGGTGTCTGGCTAGATGGCCCTCAACTCCCCAGTCGCCTTGACGCAAAGAAAGTGCACTAGCCAATCCTTGCCTGCATACGAGTACTGCAGAGCAGAGATTGCCAACTCCAACCGACTTGACGTCCAGAGCGCAACAAGATACTGTGACCTGCAGGTAGCGTGGGAGAGCTCCCTATCTCGTCACTTACGAGTATGTGAATGCTCCTGGTGGATGGCCTCGGGCCTGATGATTGAGTTTACAGCAGACACGCAAGGCGCTATTTACGATACTAACAGACGCAAAGCAGCAACTCCTCTCAGCTGCCGCGACTAAGGATGGCATCCCATCCCAGAGACTAATACTACTAGCAGCTCAGGTTACTGTACGAGTACTGCTCTATCATTTAGCGCGTCGTCAAAATTTGCCAGTTTCTGTGGGTGGCTTTCTGGCACCCAGTCAGAAGCAGCTAGGGGCAGCCCTGTGCAACTTGGTCCACACACTCTAATATCCAGCTGCATGTACGTACATGCTCGTACTCTCGAATGAATGGGGCCGTTCATGTGCATCTCACACACCCCTTGCGTCCTTGAAGCCAAGTTAGCCTGCGAATCTCAGTTATATGCCGCTTGTCGAGAGATGACGGCATTGGCCTCGTACGCAGAAGAGACGAACTCGAAATCCAAGTTGGGAACAAAGGGAACATACCGAAAACTTGCACTAAAGGCAAGAGTTAAAGGAATAACCGTATGGGGAAACGGGAGTGGCCGGCCCGCGTGCTTAGACGAGTAGTAGTTGGGGATTTAGGGCTTGTTTATCGGCCGAGTAGTGGGTGGCGTTTAGTCAATGGTTTGATGATCAGCAGCAGCCGTCGAACGTCGCACTATCTGATCTGTGTACACATCTCACGGGCCGCTCAAACACGGAGGGCCGAATGTTGCCCCTCTATGACGGTGAAGAAGAGATTGACTCCGAATCATCCAGGCGGTTCTGCGGACTTTGCCATTATGATGATTGGCGGAATGCGTACCGCTTGGGATTCGGTGTGCATAATGCTCGATTCGAGGGGCCCCCCTTTTCCCCCCCAGTGAGCATAAGATACCGAACAACTACTTCCCCGAGAATCTATGTGCTTGGATACTCCTGCGTCGTAAACAGCCACTCATCAGCTGTTGCCTATTGTTTCCACGACCCATGGTGTTGTCTCAATATCAACCACAGAGAAAATCCCGCCGTCGAAGACTGAAGCCCCTACCGCGCAATGGCTGGCATCCTTGCTCTCATTGAACCCGGGAGATGGACGGCATTCCCCGGAAGATTTGCAAAGGGGTGTAAATTCCACGCCGGAAGCTGGCTCACAGACCGCTGAACCAAAGGCCAAGCAGTACTATTCGATGTGACTCGGCGCGGAAGCAATGGCATTGCATCCACAAGCGCTGTTGTCTCTGTACTGCATGTATCTTGGAGGGGCGCAGACGAGCTTCACAGCCAAGTACATTAATCATTTCGCTCGCATACGCAGCCGCTCATCGGCTATAATAAATTCCAAATGCAAGGCAGTATGGGAGAAGGACCATGGCAGTCGTTACTGCGGAATCATTTCGGCTTTGGGTTAACTCAAATGAGCAAAAAGCAGCATGTTTTCTCATCATCGCTTTGCAACCTTGCATCCTAGAAACAGCGAGTCGAGGCGGAAATAGAGTTACACATATATGCACGGAACGCCGGAATTACGACATTGGTAAGAGGGAGAGTTTCTGATGCAACAAAAACTCCACGACAAGACAAGACAAGAAGGCTCCATTGGAAGTTTGTGGCCAAGGACGTCATGGATTGAGATGAATGTGTCCTTGGGTATGCTTGACCAAGGCACATCCGCTGTGGACTCGGCTCTGCTACCTTGCTCCGCCTCGATTTTGGCTCGGTCCGCCCCGTATGCTGGCGGCTATCGACCCGGCATGCCATCGTTGCTAAATCTGGAATTCCAAGCCGTCCAATGGCACCGTCGCAATTGAGGGGCCTTCACTTTTGGACACTAGCAATGGGGGTTGATAGTGCTTGTGTTGGAGCCTCCGAGACAAGGTCTGGATGCAGTGGAGAAGAGGCATGGTCCTGCGTCATCCGAAGCTGTTTCAACATTGCCCACAGCCCAATTGTCATAAACTTGGCACACCATTGTCAGCTCGAAGTCAGCGGGGGAAATGGGCATCGTCGCATAAAACTTCCAGTTGTGAATTGCTGCAACGTGCCGGGAAATTCTGGCACCGGCTCTGGAGACCAATTATGATTCCAAGTTGACCTTTCGAAACTTCATGCATCGCCCTACAGGCCGCCACCTCTAGCATCAGGCCTCTAATATCTAGCCGTTGCCTGCTAGACACAATGGGCTCATATAGCTTGTTACCCGAGTCATTCTGGAAACATGTCATGTTTTGGTCGCCGCAATGCCCTCGCGATGCCGTACAACTTCAATGCCTCTGGCTTCAGAAGTGGAACCCGGGGTTTGTTGGTACGTGTGCATCGCACGCCGAGCTGCCGACGTTGTGCTATAAGCACGAGAAAACAACATCAATGCAAGTCTTCTCCCACGCAAACGCCGACGGTGTTTCAGCCGCATGCTAGAGCATCAGATGCGCTCCTAGAGCCGTGAATAATCTCATTTCCTTGTGTTGTGGCGTCAGTACCAAACCAAAGACCAAGATGTTCTCCCGAGAGAACAAGACAGCATGAATCAGAGTGCATTCTAAGACCGTCGGGCAATCCGAATGCTTCATACTGAGGCCCAATTGGAATCAATGCCACGGTGCTTTAGTTTGGATCGTGTTTCGTCGTGACTGGCTTGATGTCACTGCTGCCTGGATAGAATCTCAGGTGCTGGTGATCGATTTATGCACCTCTGGCCAATGCGTGGTCTCAGTCTTTCCTCCTGAGCCGCCACCAGGCTGTTCTTTCATAAGTCAGCCGTTCGAGAATAAGCGTAGTGTCAGATCCAAAATTCCGCGCGGATCGGTCCTTGTTCCTATTCTGTTGACGGCTACGCTAACAGCTTGCCGCGCATACACGCCCCTCCTCTCCAGTGACAGCCGCACCTGGTCCAGCTCAAACGAATGTGTGTCCTCGAGCAATATCTGGCACCTACAACCGCCTCACTTTTTTTTTTAACCCCCAAGACCTGCATATGCATACTAACCTACTCTCAGCCTCGGGTCATGGATCTATCATTCCCCGGACCAATATTTCTCTTTCGTGCAGTGTACAACAGGCGGGAGGGGGCCCCAATTCTATCTGATGTGCCGAACCAGCTCACCAACCCCCAGCCTCTTTCTCAAAACAGCTGCACAGCTGCATTAGCACGAGGAGGCGCGTACGGGCTAGTACCTTGGGCACTCTGATAGTAACCCGGTACTAGGTGCGAAGGATGGGAACACAGGCCAATGGTGCTCCGCATGTGCCACAGCCAAGGCACACATGATAACTCAAAGCAACGAACAGGTTGTGACGGTCCACCCGGATGCTGCCGTCACTAACAAGATGGGATGTACGCAAGGCCGGCATTGGATACCTACGTGACATTTCACCCGTGCCAGCCTCCGGGATTCCGGGTCCTGTTGCCCGCATGGTAGAGGAGGGCTGGAACTGTGCCCATCCTGTCAGTAAGATGGATGGGCCAGTACGAGTACGTGATGGTCCTGTGTACCAAGTACGGAGTGCCTGTGTATGTGGAATTATACGTAGCATCAGGCCTTCGGGGGAACACACTCCGGGGAGGCTATCGCCGGTGTCGTCGCCCGTCCAGCTGACGGATCTTCGGCGTGACATTCCGTTCATGCCTGACTCCGCGCGGGCAATCGACCATTAGCCCGCAGCAGCTTACCAGATTGGTCTACTAGGTGCGGAGGAGAAGCATGTCTAGGGAGGCTGTTTGCTACTGTAATCCACGCCAAAAGCAGTCCTTCCACCGACACGCTTGCTTTTCAGCCGCGAAACGAGGAAGAATACGAGCCAGGGAAAGGGGGCAGACAGAGTGACGAGTTCGAGGCCATGTCTCAAAATGATTCTATATTGCAGCTTGCCCATGAATCCTGCTCACACATGCTGAAACCAAAAGCAAGCCGTGTCTACATCTAACTGGTCCAAAAGCAAACGCCCTCAAAAGCACGGTAGGCTACTAGTGTGAATGCCCACCCTTACATAACAAAGGTTCCTTTCTCCATTACTCGGCTGCAAAGGACACGTCCATGATCCTGGTTTTCCCGTCGGGCTCCAGGCAATGACCGAAGCTTTGATGGCTGCCAACAATTTCGTTCTCCATGTCGTCTTTCTGCTGCATGTCTGAGTCCCCAAAGAGCGGGGTCTCAGGATTTTGGACCCCACGACCAATTAAAAAGGGGGGGTTGTTCTAACTTAGTCAAGGTAAAAAGGCAAGATAGAGAAGGAGAAAACAAGAACAAGAAAAAGGAAAAAAAGGCAACCGAATTGCTCTAGTCTCGCAACAAGGGAGGGCGGCCAATCTTTTGACAGAGAGTCTCTTGGCTCTCTAAGCGAGAGCGGCGCGGCTGCGCCATGTCTCAGCAACGTCACTCGTGCAGCTCTCACCGACTGGCCTTTTTCATGGCCTCCTTTCTTCGTTTCTTTTCTGCGGCTCGGGCCAATGACCGCTTAATGTCTCCATCCTCCAAGGTGTCCATGTCAAAGTATAC